ATGTCAAAAATGATAATTAATTTACTTCTTCATTTATATCTACTTACTAATTAATTGAAATTTTAATTTTGTTAGGTCAAGTATAAACATAACACTTAAATCCATCTACCTGGATAGCCAATTGGAGAAGATGAGCAACATAGAGATTTTGAGAATGTTGCAATGTTTGAAAATAAAGGTGAAGGCCAAGATGTAAATGTTGATGATGGAGACTTCATTGAAGCTCAAGCTTCTCTCTCACAAGATCAAGTGGCTCAAGCATGGTTGAAGGCAGTTGGTGGAATGAAGAAGACTGGTAAAGTTTATGGACTTAGATCACATGCTGCTATGGTATGTGGAAATCATGGCAAGACCACTTGTAACATTAATATTGTTCATCCTACTCCTCCACATCCTACACCTTTACATCCTACACTAAATGTAGGAGATTTTGTTCAGACACCTGCATTTAAAGAAGCTGTTAACCGTGCAATAGAGGACAAGATAGAACATGTATTCGGCCAAAAGATGTCAGAGATGAGATTTTCCATTCAGCAAGATATTTTTGAGGCTATTCATAGTTTAGGTGAGATAGTTCCAACTCTAGAGCAACGTGCTAGCAGTGCAAATTCTTCTAAGCAACCGGATCCAAATGGTGGTGAAAAATAACCATGTTATTTCCTTAGTTTTTCCTTTATTTTTTATGTATGAGATACTTTAGAACTCTTATTGAGTTTATTACTCTACTATCTTATAATATTGTATGACTTTTGATATGTGGTTAACATATTGAACCACTTGATTATGATATGACTTTTTCATATATGGATTATAGATAGATTGAACCACTTATATTATATTGTGCACTTTAGATTTTATTTTCTAGTTAATTGCTTGATTAAACAAGATTTATTTATAATTAAAATTTTGATTCTTACAAAACTATAGTGCACTTTAGTGACCAAATTGCGAGGAAATTATTCCTCTCTAACTAGTTTGATTTGCAAGGAATTAATTCATCTCTAAATGTTTGCTGTCTTGATTTTTTTTGTTGTTAATTATAATCTATTAGCGAGAAACTAGCAATGACATATTCCTCGCTAATTTAGTGAGGAATACATCCCTCACTAAAAAAGTCCTAGCTAAAAAATGAACTTAGCGAGGAATTAGATGCCTCACTAATTTTAGAGAGGAAATAATAAGTCCTCGCTACTTCCTCGCTAATTAGCGAGGAAAAAATTATTCCTCGCTAATATTTAGCGACCCATAATTTAGCTACGCATTAGCAAGGAAATTAATTCCTCGCTAAATTACTTTTAGCGAGGAATAGATCTTATTTAGCGAGGAATAAGGTCCTCGCTAAATACAGATTTTCTTGTAGTGATATTTTGTCATTTAAATTCTTATATTGGGCAATTATAAAGAGGTGTTGAATTACGTGTTTTTGTTTTCTTATGATGAATACTTTCAAAATCAATGAGATTATTTTTATCAATTTCGGTTATTTTAAGTTATGCAATAAATGCCAAACATGGATTTCAGTTACAAAATTTTATCTTTGCAAGTTTTAATACTCAAAATTATTCATGCGAGTTTGATTTTGAGAGTGGAAACTGTATTTTATAACGATGATTTTCTTGCATGTTTAAAAATAGACTGATGGGAATTTTATACAGGACACTAGTTACTAATGGTAGTTCTATTAGCCCTTGGTGCGCCTTGGTTAATAACTAGCTAGTTTGAATTTCATGAGCTCTGTTTCATATTTGTTATTCGTGGATCTCGTACTCGCAGTTGTTTTCGCGGCTTCAAGTCATGTTTGGTTAGCATTACTCAAGTGGATTATGCATCCATATTTCTTTTGTGGCTTCAGCTATGTTTGGTTATTTATCCTTATGGATTGCGTGTCTACGTTTGATTTCATGGCATAAGTTTCGTTTGGTTATTTACTCGCATGGACTATGTGTCTTTATTTGTTACTTGCTCTAATAAATCCCCATAATTATGAGATTTTAATCATTTGATGAGTCTTTTTTTATTGGTTTTGATTAACGATATATTTATAATTATTTAATACAGTTATTTGCTTTATTAAAAATAAATGATAATGACATTTGATATGATGCTTTAAAGAATCAAGATTTTATTTAACGTTATATAGAAACCTCTTATGCCAAATTTTATTAAATATTTGGTTGCGAAAATTGTCATCTTTAGCACTTATAATTATTCTATATTTTCCTTTTATATACATTTAATTATTTATTGTTGGAATGCTATTCACTAAAAATTTATTTTGGTCTCTGATTAATTAGATGATACTAATCTCACTGCTGACCTTTGAAGGGCATACAACTACTTTGGGTGAAATTTTGCTTACCATTATCTCCTTTGATGTAAATATTTGAATTCATGTATTTTATTTTAAAGTTAAGGTTAGATGCTCCACAGAGCCTATAGATATATATCTATTTCGATATATGTTGTCTGTTAGCTGGAAGAAACTGAGCTCTTTATTGATATTATATTTTATGTAAAATATTGTGTTATAGAATTTTTGGGAGATCCTATTTATAAGAGAGGTTCTGCTAAAATTTATACAAAAATATTAAATATTTTATTATAATATTTTTTTCAATACTTTATAATTTCTACTAAAATGAAAAGATTTTCTTCAATTTAGGGCTTAAGGGATGTGGGATATAGTTCATATCTCGTGCAGGTCACCCTCTAATTTCAGGGCATGACATGATAGTTTTTCAAAATTTTAAAGCGTGCTTCTCTTAATCTTTTACTTTAATTATAATGGTGCTCTTAATTTCCAAACTAATAAATAGTAATTCTAAAATTATTTATAAAAAAATATCAATCACTTATTGGGCATTTGAATTCAATTCAAACAATATTAAATACAACACTCTAACCAGTTATGTTTTAAATATACTTGAGTTAGTTAAATCATTTGATAACTTTTAATTTATCCTCATATTTCTTTATGAACCATACTCATTCATAAATCATAATAAATCATATCAATCATTCTTAAGCTTCCGCTTCCCCTAGGCTAAAAAATGTGAAACAAGTAGTAATCCTTTCTCTTACTTTGGTATTTTAAAATTTTCAATTAAGAACTTGAACCAAAATTATAAATACTCCTCCTAGCTATAATATGAAAGTTTTAACAACCCATAAGTTACCAAATTCTTCTCCCACATATTTGTACAAATATCTTGAAGGCATGCATTTATTATTGACAAAAATTGTGAGATGAATAATCAAGAAATTCCAACAAGCCCCAAGCTTTTACTTTCATTAATCAAATTTAGTTCAGTCATCACCGTAGTAGTACAGCATCCAATTTTGACTGAAACTACACCTCAATCCTTTCTAAAACTTTATGACAGCAACAATAAGGGATAAGAATGTCATAACTCAGCTAGAGGAGCGAAAGGATCATTTGGTGCAGCTATAGAAACCGAAAAAGAAGAGAAAAACCCAACATCTCGCCCCAAACGAAATTCAATCGCAAAATCTATGAATAAATACATGCTCTGCATCGAAGAAGATAAGGAGAAAAGTTTCAGTCTCCTACATAAACCAGAAGCAGACGAAAATTTCAGCTAACAAATGCAATAGTCAAGCTACCATACACACACACACACACGGAACTTTCAGCAACTGAGGAGGAAGAAAAGAAAGACTGAACATGCATGCATACACCACCTTCGTTAGCCACGAAACAGAACAGAACCGATGAAGGAATTCAACCACTCCACATGACAAAAACAAACAAACAGCTGACGGAACTGAACGGGCAAACAGCCGGCGGTGAGGAGACATGTCCACTAACGGTAAGGACGAAGCTTATGTGACGGAGAAGAGAAGAAAAATGGAGAACACTCCCGAACTCTCTCACATTCTGTTCTGCGCTTTTTGACCGACAAGGAAGAAGCAAGATAACATGAAATAATAAGCTCTTTCGAAAAATTACAAAACAAGATCCAAATCTTGTTGGGGAAATTTCAAAACAATACCCCATCAGAATTTTTTAATTGATATTATAATGTTTTTATAACAATAAGCGAGGGGTATTTTGGTAATTTCTCATATAAAGGAAAATAAAACAATCATTTGGCTTAAGTAAGATTTAAATTCTAGACCTTCATATAAGTAATCCGTATAAATTTCACTAGGTCAATACTCTTTTTATATAATAAAGATAATTAAATAAAATATCAATAGGGAAGGAAAATTGTTTAATTTAAATTTTTGGATCATTACATATTGAGTTGACTTTCTAAAAAATGTTAAGTATTTTTAATCTTTTGATCTGTAATCATTGCTTTTTTTTTTCAAAAGTGCCCTTATTAATAATGACTTTATATTTATTATAAGGTGTTTAATAGCAATAAATACGGAAAGATAGGGTTAGTTTGAAAATAGGTAATTACTTTATTAGGGGTGAGATTCAATTAAAAATGCCTTATATTTTTAGCAGAAAAAGTACTAGATAATTTTTTAAAAATTAAAATTAATTTTAATATTAAAAAAGCAATTGAGAATCCAAACACTTATTAATCTAAAATTTGAAAATGTGGACCTTAATCATGATTTTTTGTCCCAGAAAAATCTAGATGAACCAATAACATACAAGGATACCCCATCCTTAAATCTTGTCATTCTCCCTAGGATGCAGCTTTTTTTAATGGTTGCTAATTGTCACGCTCCAAAAATAGGGGGTGATCGGCACGGGTGCGAACTACATCGTACATTCCCATAAGACTTAAAATGAAAATTCATTTTATTTTAAAAAAATTAATCAAATTATATGAAAATTTTAAAACTTTTGTTATTAATTGTCATAACAAAGTTTCAACATTTTCATAGAAATTTTGACAGAACCTCCTTTATAAATAGGATCTCCCAAAAATTTTCCTAAACATTGTATCAATCAGGAGCTCAGCTCCTTCCAGCCAACAGACAACTATATATATATTAAAATAAAACTCTAACTATAGCTTATGTGGAGCAACTAATCTTATTTCTAAACTAAAATACATGAATCTTAAATATTTACATCAAGAGGTAACAATACCAAATAAAATTTCCATCCAATATAGCCATATGCCCTTCAGAGGTCGGCAGTAGAATCAGCATCAACTAATGAATCTGAGACCAAAATAATTTTTCAGTGAGTAACGTCCTAACAATAAATAATTGAACATGAATAAAAATAAAGTTAAAATAATTTTTTTTATTTAAAGAGGCAACGATCTTCATAACAATTTAATAAACTTTTGAAATAAAAGAATTCTATAAAATTTTACATAAAATCTCAAATCATTAAAATATCATATCAAAAAATATTATCACTTGATTGCAAGGAAGCAAATAAAAAAATAAATAATTATGAATAATTTTATTATTTAAAACCAATGGGATGTGAAATTTCCAAAAAATCAAATTCATATAATAGGGACTTATCAAAACATTAAACAAACGTGGACAAACAGTCCATGAGGATATATAACCAAATGCGGCTTATGCCTCGAAAGCAAACGTGAACACATAATCCACGAAGGTAAGTAACCAAACGCCGCCGAAGCCATGAAACAAATGTGGACACACAATCCACGAGGGTAATGATAACCAAACGCGGCTCAAAGCCACAAAATCAAACGTGAGTACGATGCTCACGAGTAATCATCCCTCCGTTCCACGTGCGTTGGCCATCGCATGGGGCTAGCACCTCCTATGAACACCCTACTAGCTAGGTGTACCATGGCACGCCAAGGGCTAAAGGAACTGCCATTAGCAACCAGTGTTCCGTATAAAGTCCCCTCCTTTTTTTTAAAAAACCATTTTCAAACATGTGAGAAAATCATCACTTTCAAGATACAATTCTCATTCTCAAAATTGAACTCACATGAATACTTTTAAGTATTAAAACTTGCCAGAATAAAATTCATATCAAATGCTCATGCTTGCATTTATCGAATAATTAAAAATTTTTGAAGTCGAACTTGCAAACTTGCAAGAATCATTCTCTGTAGCAATTCAATAAGTTCCAGAATGAAAATCTCATAATTATAATCCAAACTTCTATTTACTGATAAAATAAAATTATCAAATTTGGTAAAGATAACTTCACAAAAATAAAATACTTTATTCAACAAAATATCTAATAATCACATTATTGCTGTAAAAAAGATTTGTATAAAAATGTAATATTTTAGTAAAAATTTTATTGGAATATCAATTGGGACGCTATTCATTTATCTGTAGTGCTTTCAAAGTTTGAAACTCACTTATTACCACTCCAATCGAGCTACCCTTCTCCCAATCACCCTATAATAAATAATAGGATCTTAGTGAACTTTACTTTTAAACCAACAAGTCTCTCTTTAGGAGAATTCACTCAACCAGAATTAATAATAAACTTTAAGTTTTAGTAACAAAATTTACATATAGAGGTTTCTTCTTAGATTTTCTAATCTTCCAATCTTTACCCAACAATTAATCAATAACCATACTATCCCAAGAATTTAACTAGTTGCATATGGATTCATAATCAATATATATAAAATTCAAGTTTTCCCAAACACCATCATTTATATTGTAAATTTCCTCTAAATTACTTCAGCCATAGTAAAACATTTGACTGAGGTATGATCCTTTCTCAAACCTTTCAACAAACACCTATTGTGCATCAATTCCTAATTTAATCAATTGAGATTCCTAGCCCTTTGCCAAAAATTTTCAATATCAACATTTAAATTTATCATATTTTCTCATCAAGAATTAATTTAAAATCATAAAATCCAAACCCACAACCGTCCTCCTCAAGCAATAGCCAACACAATAATGGAGTTATTTACCAAAAATTATCCTCTTTAATCCTGAATTTCATTTTGTCCAAATCCAATTTGCTTTCCCATTTACATGTCAAGTAAGAACAATGAGAGTACATCAGTTTTCTTTCCCCCCTTATCCAGGTAACCAATTCATCAGACTTAATTGTTACCATAAACCAACATCTATTCATCACATTTTATTAAATACTTAATTAAATTTTCTATGTTTCCAAAGTTCATATCTTTATCCAAACTGAATTTAGATCCATAATATTAGTCCTTAGTATACTGAATATGGTTAATAACTCCACTCCAACTCTTTTAAATATTTTATCAAACATCTGGAGTGCATTAAAAATTCAAAGCATATCATCAAGCTTCCTACTCTAAAAATTTCAAACCACTTACAGCTTCCAAACAACTTCATAAATTTAAATCCACTAAGATCAATACCCAAATCCTTCTTTCATCACAATAGATCATGGTTGAGTAATCAAACATGCTACAAAACACAGCAGAAAAGGAAAATTTTTTTGAGCTTAACCCTTACGCAAACAGCAAAAAGAAGGAAGAAGCAAAACAGAGACAGCACAGAACAGCACGAACGCGAAAAGACATGGAAGAATCCGGCAACCTTTGCCAGCAAAAGGTCTTCCGTTTCACACACACAGACGACGTACGAATGAAGAGCCCAAAATCTAGCAACACCAACACCCACAGCAAGACTGAATAAAAGAAGAATATTATTATTATTATTATTTTTACGCAAAACAGAGAGAGAAGAGAAATCCGGTGACCTTCGACGATGCTGGCCGGAAGATTGCTTACCCACTTGCTCTCGTCAGCGACGAAGGGGAGGAGAACAAAAATGAAGGTCTGGATGATTGAAGCTCTCCTCTCTCCCTCTCGGTTGTCACACGCACAAACCACCGACGTTGAAGACGACGAAGGAGGCCGGCAACGGTGACCCCCGATACAGCTGCTCTTTGACTCTCTCTCCCTCTTTGTCGGTCTCCAGAAGAATCGAAGAAGGGGAAAATTTTTTTATGAGATTGAAGAAGGGTAATTTGGTAATTTCGGATGGTAAAAAAGAACAAAATAATATCTCATTTTGCCTCAGCCAGATTCGAACTTGTTTAGCTGCCACTACAACCACTATCCTTTTTATCATAATAATTCCAAAAAAAAAGGTCTTATAATTACTATTAAAACATAAACTTATACACTTAATTATTTTATTTTTATTATTATTATTTTTGGGTTATTACACTAATTTTGTGTCTTTCACAAAGCAAAATCAAAATCCCATTCCTCTAATTGTCTGTCTCTAAAGATGAGCTCAAGAGTTAGTGAAAAACATCCCATAAGAATTATGGGTCCCTTATTTTTCACATAGATTGGCGATCTCCTTACTCAATCGAAAACATGTCTTTTTGGTAGTATCATGATAATTCTATCCTTTCTTTGGGAAAAAATTATAAAGACACTAATGTAGTGTGTGTATATATAATATCGATCTTATCTTGCAAAGTGGTCTGCAGAATTTCTTTGGCAAAATCAATGAAGTATACATTAATGAAGTGTTTTTTCCCCAAATTTCTCCTTTATAATTATAATAATCACTCTCTTACTTGACAGAAAATTATTTGCTTTAGGATAGAGTTTAAAATACTTAAATGAAGAGCAATTCTCAAAAGTTATAATATTTTTTTATGCTAACAAGAACATTATTAATTTTATCGATGACAATGCATGTTAAGTATTAAGTTCTACGACAATAGACTATAGAGGACAATAATGGCAACGTTGAAGTTCCCTTTGGTTTCTATTATAAGGAACTTTAATTTCTAGAAAGATTTTTTAGTCCTTAATATAAGCCACCTGATGGGATATTAATTACAATTTTTTAATATTATTCATATTTAAACTCACTAACTATAAAAGAGAATGTAATGCAAATTTGAAAATGTTTCATTTAAATATGGATAAAATTAAAAGTTTATTATATTTTGAGACAAAATTAATATCTTAACCACTTTTGTTTAAGTCCAATGTAAGTAATTAGAGGTTCCTTATGCTAGTGACCAGAGGGAGAATACAATACTGCAAATTTTTTTTTTAAAAGGTCTACCTTAATACATTGATTAATTAAATAACGGGTGACAATATATTAATTAATTTGTTTGTTTGAGATAGAAGGTGTTGAATCCTGTAGAATTTTTGGAGAATGTCGTAGTGGAGCATGAATATGTTGAGTGCACTGGGACAACAATTCAAGCTCTAGTTTTGTTCAGAGATCAGATATATCCAACATAGAGAAAGAAAGAGATCAAGAATTTTATTGACAATGCTGTGAGATACATTGAAGATACACAAACTGAAGATGGTTCCTGGTATGGAGGTTGGGGGATTTGCTTCATTTATGACAATTTTGCCTCCATTCGCAAAGCTGTCAACTTTCTGCTTACAACACAAAAACAGGATGGTGGGTGGGGAGAGAGTTATTTTTCATGGCCTAAAAAGGTTAATTAATTTCTTCTTGATAAAAAATAAGGGTAAAAGAAAATGGGCACTTAAATTATAGGTTCAGGAGCATTTGGGATCCTAAACTCATTTTGTGTGCAATGTTTCCCTTCAACTTGTGAAAATAGTGCAATCTAACCCAACTGTTAACTAAAATTAATTTTGACTGTTAATTGAACAAAAACTTAAAAACTACAGAAAAGGACCAATAAATTTGTTTGGGTCATTTTCTATAATTTTTGTGCCTTTATTTGTAATTTTTGGGTCATTTGCTATAATTTTTTAAGTCATTTTTTGTCAATTTTTGGTCAACTAATGGTCAAAATTAATTTTTGTTAATGCTAGAAGTTAGATTCAATCATTTTCAAAAGTTGAAAGAAAATAATGTATCAAAAATAAATTTAAGGGCCTCAGACACTCTTAAACCTATAGTTTAGAGGCCAACTTGATCCTTTTTTTTTTTTTCCACCCCTTTTAACAATGTTACTTCCTATTGACCATAATTATATAGTTTAACGACTTTGATGGATAATGCAGAAGTATGCAGCACTTGAAGGAAGCCGATCAAATATTCAACTGTTGTACAAACATCATGGGTTATGATGCGTCTTATTCGTGCTGGGCAGGTAGGTCATTAAACTTACTTCTTTAGAACATTCTGGTTTACATGATTTTAGAGTATAAACACCATAGAGATGCGTCTTATTTTGGGTCAAGCTTCTCTAGGCTTTATACAAGGACCATTTTACCTTGAGAGAGAACCCAAGTCATTTATTTATTGGCCAAATAACTCAAACTTAATATCACTGAGTATAAAAAATTCAACCCAAAATGATTTAAAGCACACCATTCTTTATTCCACTACAAAAAGGTTAAGGTATAAATCTACCCATGAAGAATATTGTATGGAGCTATGAGTATCCTTAACTCAAGTATGACGTAAGTTTACTCATGAACTCTGAAAAATAGTCCGTTAAGTAAAGATTGTGGGTCTCATTTACTATGCCATGTGTAAATGGATTAAGGTATAAATCTACCCATGAAAAACACCCCATTCTTTATTCCATTACAAAAAGGTTAACATATAAATCTACCCATGAAGAATATTGTAAGGAGCTATGAGTATCCTTAACTCAAGTATGGTGTAAGCTTATTCATGAACTCTGAAAAATAGTCCGTTAAGTAAAGGATTGTGGGTCTCATTTACTATGCCATGTGTAAATGGATTAGGAAAAACTATCCATAATGTATTATACTATGGTGCAATTTTGCCCATAAAAGTTAAAAATTGTGTAAGAATTCCCAACCTAAAAAAAGTCATATGCTGGCAAGCATTGACTATGAATGTCAAAATAATTAAAGTTATATTTGACTAGAAGTGTAAATGACAAAATACATGTTTTTGAGTTTTTCCTAGCTATCACAAACCATGAGCATAATATTTCATTTTTTTAACACTTCATAATCAAGAGGAAAAGGAAGAGGGTTTGAACTAACGTGGTTAGTGAAAAGAAGAGAGAAGTAAGAGTCGGGATAGAGTCAAAGCATGTTTATGTGATTATAATGCATGACAAAACAAAATGTTGTGCCTAGGGTTAATTTCTGTCCATTAGAACAAATTTAAACACTCCTCTGATTCTATTTTCAAGGAAGAGAGAGAAGATTAATTTTGATCATATTTATAAGACACTTCATTATTTTGTATATTCATCTTTACATTTATGCTCTTATTAAATACTAGAAACATTATCAAAAATAATTCTTTTTTATCCTTATTAGGGATAGAGGTAGAAACTTATTAAGTTTTAAGGTAGAATTAATGAGGTTTAAAGTTTTATTTGATTTTAATGAAACATGCTAGAAACAACTTATAAGGAGTAGATGTCTTTCCATGTTTGCACTTTGTGTCAAATAAAATATTAATGTTTCTTATATTCACGATCATATGTGATAACGTGTATATTTGTCAGGGATTGTGGATTTTTGCACCATTTTTAGGATTGACTGACAAAATTGCACCATAATGTATTGGTTTATAGATATTTTTTCTCCTAACATATTTACACATCGCATTAGTTCATAGATGTTTGATAACCTTTGTTATAAATTGGAGATTTTTGCACTGTTTTTTAAGGTTCATGGATAAAATTGCATCATACTTCAGTTACGGATGTCAATGGCTCCTCATCAAATTATGGGCAGATTTGCATCTTAACTCTTCTATAAAAAGACTAAATTTCTAAAAATATGAACGAACAGTGCCTCTCAATCCTTGATTCATTATGCATTTATTAGATTTGATGTAGGCAAAGAGAGATCTAACTCCTCTTCGTCGTGGAGCAAAAGTTCTAATTAATTCTCAATTAGGAGATGGGGATTGGCCACCACAGGTGAGTCCCTCCCTCTCTCCCTCTCTCATTCATTTGATTAATATAGTTAGTTAACTATAAAATTGTAATTAAATATTTTTATGTTATTTGTAGGAATCAACGGGAGCAGTATCCAATGTATAGAAACGTCTTCCCACTGTGGGCTCTCTCTGAACATTACAAGTAAATTCCATTGCCGATCCAACCATCATAAGCAAAGTTTGCACGCTTCATATTGCAAATTAACGAAGATTCAATGTATTTGAAATAAGGATTTGTTCAATTTTCTTGAAATCTGAATAAAGCACATCCCCAGTGAACAATATACTATAGGGATGAGGAACAAGTTCTCGATCATTAGGGATTGTTTTTTTTTTTAATTATTATTTAAATCTTTGGATTCCAAATCCAAATCTGTCTTATTATAATTGCTTTATTATTTCAAACAGTTTCTGAATCTTAGTTATTCGAAATTTCACATGCTCTTTTCTTTACGTTTTCACTATCAATGTCTCTATTAGCATCACCACTCCTCCCATCTCTCATTCTTGTTTCTCACCAATTAAAAAATAGAGATAAACTTGATATTTTCAATCTTCAGTTCCTGTTTCAAATTTTCACTAGTCTCTCTTTTACATTTAAAATTCTTTACATTATCCAAACAAAAACATTTTAAATACATGGATTTTGAATGTGAAATTTTAAATCTAAGATTTTAAATCAAAAATTTAAATTCAAATCCATCAATCAAAACACTATCTAATATTTTATAGTGATAGATGATCTAGATAGAGCTGACGGTGGGCAAATGCCCCACTCAACTTGGAGAAAATTACATGTATTGTAATTTTTTAAAATTTTCACCTAATACCTCAATACTTTTGGAAAGAATTACATTGAAATCTTATACAAGAAAATTAATTACCACAACGTCCATTAATAATTGAACTAAGGCAATTGACAACATAATTAGTTGTCAATTGTCTTAATTTAGTTGTCAATAGACCTTGTAGTAATTAATTTTCTTGTATAGAATCTGGATTTAATTCTCCCATAATTTTGAACCCATTAGCTAGACTCAAAATAAAACATATTTTTAGTTATAG